TTGACTTTCAAGATAAAGTTATATATTAATATATTTAAAATTAAGAAACATTAAAAATAAGATTTTAAAACTGCAATACTTGTTTTACATTTGGAATACATGTACCTTAAGTTAATTTATAATAGTTTTTTATTACTCATAATATCACACCATATATGTTTAAGCTAAAAAAATTAGTCCAAAGAAAAAACATCTTTATTACTGTTATTAGTATTATATCAGGAAATTAGAATGTGCAAAGTGCTTCGGAAGATTTATTCTAATCTAATATGGAGTTCTAGGGCGGATTCCTTGCTTTTGAAAATTTCTAGTTTGATGTCATATTATCTGGTTAATTTTTAGCTCTTTTTACCAAACAGATTTACCTCATCCAACTAAAAGTTCAAAATTATGTTTCTAGACAATAGTCTTGAGTTCAGACAATACACTTTAATTCAGGCATTAATTTCCACGTACAGTTCTAAATGCCAAGCATCGCCCTAATCTATGAGCCCGTTTAACAACCTTTGTTTTCATCTTATCGTCAAATGTGTTAATCAATTGGCTGAATTGGAAAATAATCAAAGTAAATCATGTTGGAGTAATTTTCTAGCTAAATTGGCTGAATTTACCATTTTCAATTTTATCTGATTCAGCCAATTTCGATGTTACCAATGGGCTCTATGTATCTAAATAGAAAATTGCTTTTTGTGCCTCCTAGAATTACTAAACCTAACCCGTCTAAAACACAAATTTACCCTTTTCAATTTTCTTTTATTAAAATGCTTCTCAACGCATTCTAGCATTTTACCCGTGTAAATTACTAAAATGTGCTTTCCAAAAAAGGTTTTTTTTTTTCAAATAAATTTTAAAAATTGTGATCTTACTTAATTTTGTTTACACCATTTTGACTCTGAAGATAAAATTATTATTATTATATTTTGAAATATAAAAAATTTCCGTATTAATATAAAGATTTTAAAAACTGCAATATCTATTTTACATTTGGAATACATGTACTTTAAGTTAATTCAAAATACTTTTTATTACTCATAATATCACACCATATGTGTATTACCAATACTGCTCAAAATATTATTTCTCACTTTTTAAACGATAAAAAAATAGTTCTAAATAACTTTAAAAAGCATTCAGATATGTTTAAGCAAAAAAATCAATCAAATTAAAAACATCTTTATTACTCTTATTAGTATTATATTAGGACATTAGAATGTGTAGAATGTTTTGGGAGATTTATTCTAATCTGATATGGAGTTCTAAATTTAGAGAGTACTCCTTTAAAGATGTTTTTAACTGAACTCGAATTTTCTTGTTTGATCTGATTTGATAAGATCTAACCTATATTATGATAAATAAATGTATCATCTATAGATCGACATTGAGACAATTTTACATAATTAATGTATAGAACTTTGATGGTGTCTAATCGAGCACAATAAAATCTCCATAATTCATAATTGAATTTTTAAAATTTTAATTTAATGTAACCTAGAATTTGTAGGAAGTTTTAGAAACTTTTTTCAATTACGTAGTATAATCCAATCTAGGAACTTTTTAGGATGTGTTAGGAAGTTTTTTGAATTATGTTTCTGGAATTACGAAGAAGGTGACATGATGAATTTTAAACTAACTGATGAATTCTAATCTAACTTAACGTTTGATCAATTCTAATCCACTGTAACTTTAGGAACTTTTTAGGATGTGTTAGATAGTATTTTGAATTATGTTTTAGGAATTACGTAGAAGATACTTATGAATTGTAAACTAATTAACGTTTGATGGATCCTAATCTAACTTAACGTTTGATGAATTCTAACCTAATTTAAGTCTAATAATAATGCATGTAATGAAGCATAATTATAATTAATTTACTAAATTGGAAAGAGAATCTAAAATATTATAATGAATGTTTACTTAGAAGATGACACATGGCAAAACTTTCCATATTTGTATTTTGAAATGTATTATCTATAGATTTTTTATAAAAATTAAACTACAAATGAAAAAGTTATATCAATTTAAAAAATAGAGATGTTTTTGGTTGGGATCAATGAAGTGATTCCTAAGTTCAACCTATTAGCTTAGTATTAATAAATAAATAAATAAATAAATAAATAAATAAATTAACGTGATAGTAACAATTCTAATCTAACTTAAATCCTATTCTAACAAATAAACTAACGTAATAGTAGTAACAATTCTAATCTAACTTAAATCCTATTCTAACAAATAATTAACGTAATAGTAACAATCCTAATCTAACTTAAATCATATTCTAACGCAACATAATTAAATTATTATGTAATATACTAAATTGTAAAGAGATCTACAATGAATGTTTGCTTAGAAGATGACATATGACAAAACTTTCCATAATTGTATCTTTCAAATGTTTTATATATAGATAGATATAGATTCATTACAACAAATAATAATATATGTGGATCACTCGTCCCACTTGATCCACTACAATCACCACCCTAACTGAATACCATGTTAGTGACTTTTAATCAAACCAGTCAAACCACCTCCAACATAAAGTTAACGTTGGTTGGTAGCGGTTCATTTTGTGAGAGGTTTTAGACACACTGATACGCACGCGTGACAGAATTATCGCATTTGATAATGAGGTTATTTATGATTATTGTAATGGTATAGATATATTATTTTTTAATACTCAATTATTAAGTTGCCATTTAAGTGTATTAATTATTTCCTAAAATAGAATGAGAACTTTTAAATGGGATGTCCCGAAAAGGAAATGAGAACCTTGAAATAGGACGAAGTCATGGAGGTAGTATATCTAATCACTTAGCTTTATTATGTAATAACTATTAAATATAAAAAAAAATTAATAATATATACAAACTAATCTAGTTTTATCTTTTGCAAGTAGGTTTCTTCTTATTCATGATTACAAATAAATATAACTAATCTTGACGTCCACGGCGTCCGATTAGTCGCTATAACGAGAAACTAGGCGCCCTACGCAATCGTCTAATTCATCCAAATGTCAAATCAATTTTTTGGGGCACCTAATTAAAATTGGAGCATCCAGCCACTGTCTAGCACCTAGGCTGAAACCAGTCTGACTCGTAGAGTGATTAATAAAACCGTGAGTAGTAGATAGAAAGGAAGAGGGAGTTTCAAGAAGAGAAAAAATATAAGAAAAAAGTATAAAAAATCTATAAAAGCCATAAAGAATAAGACACATAGGTTGATTGGCCATTCTATGACTGATTTGACTAATATTTGGTCTTTTGACTGGATATACAGCTAACAAGGGCGTGTTTAGTTGACCTTTTATTTGACTTTTTATCATAGTTCTGAGGATTAACTTTTGTATATCTTTCCCATATTCCTATAGTACCCAACTGATGATGCCTTCTTTTTCGTATGTATCTACATCTTTCTCGTTGAAGAGAAAACCACTGAATAAAAAAACCACCGGTCAACATAAACAGCGCTTCCGCTGAAGAGAAAAAAGCAACACCGGCAGGGAGCAACCGACTAATGCAAGATCCAGGAATGACTTCCTGAACAATATGTTGGGGGAAAACACGACCCCTCGGCTTCTTTCAGGATCACGACCTCATAGCTAGCACTCTTGTACACTCACACACATACTCGCAATACAAAGACTCAATATGGCAATATCATACAATTGAAATGTGCAAGAAATATTTTACAAGAAAACGGTTAGCTCACTTACTTCACTGTTTGTATATGAGACTACTTGACTCTCACTTTCCTCTTTCAAGGAAGCACTCACTCACTCAAGAGCCCTCCTTAAGGATCTCTCTCTTATCGTTTGAGGAGACTCTCACAAGGCTCTCATTCAAGGCTCCCCCAACACTCAAGGAGGCTCTCACATAGGAATGAGTAGTCACACCCCCATTTATATCAAACTCCTCCAAGCGTATCTAGAACTTTCTATGCACCATTACACTTCTAGTCTTCTAAGGAGTATTCACAAGCTTCTCTAATAATCTTTTAGAAGGATCTAGAGAACTCCACACTGATTCAAAATGTTCTAGAGGCTTCCACATACTTCCGCACAATTCTAGAGATCGAATTCCACACTTCTCTAGAAAGTTTCACAATGTTCTAGAATATTCTATACTCTTTCACGCGCTTCTAGATAATTTCACGCCTCTTTAGAAGGTTCCAGAATATTTTAAAACATTCAATACTTTTCTACACGCATATAAAGAATTCTAGACATCTCCACAAAATTCTAGAATTCTCATGAACTTCTCAAATAAGGAGGGAACCCAACACAATCCTACCACCCAGTTACTTAAATACCTTTTTCTTGAGTTTTAGCTTCAATTAGTCGAGGCAAGGACTATGAGGAAGATCCAGGAAGTTATCAACTTATTGTAAACAACTATTTAATCAAACACCGTTTTACAAACTGTTAATATTGATGTTCTAAAAGGCGCTAGACGCTAACCGGGCAGTGACTGGCCGCCTAGCGCCCAGCCCACCTAGGCGCCGACTAGGGCACCTAGACATTTCCTCTATTTTTTTCATTTCATGTGAATTTTAAAAAACTTTACTAACAATTTTATAATAACTTGACAATAGAAATAGCTCATATAACCATTAAATATGGTTTTATAGTAAAATTCTCAAAAATCAAATAATTAAATAAGAGATTTGTGCTTTTTAGTCTCTAAAATTGTTCATGTACATTCTAAAAAATTATATACACTAAAAATTATTTTTGATGTGAAAATATGATAGTTAATTTTATAGGAATAGAATAGTTATTGATCAAATGGTGTTTTACGAAAAAATGGGGAAAAAAAGTTGGATCAAAAACAAATTTAGCTTGAGCCGCCTAGCCACCGCCTAGGGACTAGGTGCCAGGTGGTGCCTAGACAAGCGCCTAGATCGATTTTTAGAACCATGGTTAATTCTATCAACTAATCAAAACAACCAACAAAATCCGCTAACGCCATCAATCAATAGTCAACGGCCAACGATGAATTGCCAAACACCCTTGCATCGGAATTACTCATCATTGGGATTTATATTAATAGATTCTAAATAGGTGGGGTTATTCTCATCATTGGGATTTACATAGATAATGTACCATGGAGTTGCCTAAAAGGCTACAAATGATTCCCTTGAATAATATGAGACAATAAATAATGGTTATATGTAGCCATGGACCAAATACATATCAAAACAGTCTTTTGTACAAAGTTGCGATCAGTGGAAGTGGACTGGTGTTAGACCCTAGAAATGCCCACTAACACAAAGATTAAGCCTATTTCAACCAAATAACTTTTATTAGAAGGGGTCGAATAGTTATAACTAAAATACATGAAAGAAGATCTCCTTTTAGAGGAAAAAATTGTTCAGGTATTTTAGCCATAACTATTCAACCTAAGAGAATCTTATCCTCCAAGTCTCCAACGTGTATGACGGGGTTGCTCTTAAAGAGAATGTGTGTCCTGTAGGGGGAACATGGCCAGTTAGAAACTGCTAATCAACATAGATGCCAATCTATGTAGTGTATGGAAGACCAATCTTTCCCTGTTGAACTGAACTGCCATATGATATAAAAGGAGAGTTTCAATAATAAACATATTATAAAACTAGAGAAGTTACCATAATATCAACAATAAACAAGAAAAAGGATAAAGGAAAAAACTATACTCAGATAGAAGCTTTACATCTGTATTCATCAAACCATTGTGCACAACTTCATAAATATACATTAGCGAAGGCGTGTAGCTATGGGGTAACCAGATATGGCTCACCCAAGTTTAGTTAAAAAGTGTTAAATTTTCGCTATAGAAAAATTTATATGAATGGCCACAAATCTGGATTTTGGGAGCCCTAGCTACACCAAGGAACTAAACAGTTTGGGGGATCATTTTGTATCTAAAGAGTTGCTTTAGAAGCTGTTCTCTTCGCCTGATCTGAATGTTTCTGATCTGAATTTTTTAAGTTCTGATCTGATCTGATCTGAATTTTTCTGATCTGATCTGATCTGATCTGAATCTTTCTGATCTGATCTGATCTGATCTGAATCTTTCTGATCTGATCTGATCTGATCTGAATCTTTCTGATCTGATCTGAATGTTTCTGATCTGGTCTGATCTGATCTGAATGTTTCTGATCTGATCTGAATCCTTCTGATCTGATCTGAATCTTTCTGATCTGATCTGATTTGAATATTTCTATAATTATAATTATAATTATAATTATTATAATTGCAATTACAAATATAATTTAAATAAAATTATAATTATAATCGTAACTATAAAAATAATAATAATAATAATAATTAAAATTAAATTTAAAATGAAAAAATTTATACTTATTACACTAATTATAAATATAGATATAATTATAATTGTAATTATATTTTTAATTATAATTGTAATTATAATTACAATATTTATCTCTATAATTGTAGCTATAGTTATCAATATTATTATAATTACTCCGTAAAATAATTACAATAGTAATAATAATAATAATAATTATAATCATAAATTATAATTATAAGTATAATTATAATTATTATAATTATAATTAATAATAATTATAATTATATTAACATTAATTATAATATTATAATATAATAATAGTAATATAAATACAATTAATATTATAATAATGATATTATTATATTCATATTATTATTACAATAATATAATAATAATAATATGATTATTATTATTATAATTAGTATTATTATATTATTATAATATTATATTATAATTATAATTATAATCATAATTATAATTATGATTGTAATTATAATTATAATTATTATAATTATAATTAATTACAATTATAATTATAAATATTTATAGATATAATTATAATAAATACAATTGATTGTACTTATAATTATAAGAATTATAATTGTAATTATAATTATAATTACATATAATTATAATATAATATTATATTAACATTAATCATATTATTATTATTATATTGTAATAATAATAATAATAATAATAATAATGATAATGATAATGATAATGATAATGATAATGATGATGATGATGATGATGATGTTGATGATGATGATAATAATAATAATAATAATAGTCTTCTTAATAATTACATTTATATTACTATTATTATATTAAAATATTATAACTATTATTAATATCTTATTTTTGTTATCATATTATTATTAATATTATTAATAATAATTATATAATAATAATCATAATTGTAATAACAATAATAATAATTAATATAATAATAAAAGTGATAAATCATGTTTGAACTTTTCTGATCTGATCTGAATGTTTCTGATCTGATCTGAATGTTTCTGATCTGGTCTGATCTGATCTGAATCTTTCTGATCTGATCTGAATATTTCTGATCTGATCTGATCTGATCTGAATCTTTCTGATCTGATCTGATCTGATCTGAATTTTTCTGATCTGATCTGATCTGATCTGAATTTTTCTGATCTGATCTGATCTGATCTGAATAAAATAAGAATAAGCAATAAGTAATAAGAATAAGACGAACAGAACAGCACCTTAAACACCTATCAATAAAAATGAGTTCCATAGAGTTTGAAATTGATCCTTAACATAAAGAAAACTCTTCATTTTTTGAAAGCTTGTTATCCAAGACTTCTATAACTACAAGATTATCTGTAAGTTAACAAGTGAACTAGCCTAGAAAAGTTAACTTAGCACATGCCTTCCATCTCATTTCCTATATGTTTTAAAATGTCGTTTTTTTCCCAAGCATCCTTTCACATTTCTGTGCTATTGTGCTAACATTAACATCTCCACCGAAAAATACACCCTTCTCTCAATCCTATACTCCTGTTCTTCATAAAATCAACCTCCGTTAATGCCTTCCGAGCATGCTCAACCAAATATATGTACTACAAGTCTACAACCATATTGTGGAATTAGTGGTATCACCTAAGTAGCAGGAAACGTGAAACGGGAAACGGGAAACACGAGAAACGTAATTTCTAAAAAATATAGGACACGAAACGTGGGGGAAACGCGTAAATATTATAAAATATAAGGATATATTTATAAATATTTTTTAATATATGTACACAAGTTTTTCCATATGCACATGTTTTTTTAATATAATTTGTTTAGTAACCAAATAATAAAATCACTCTACATGTTCAAATTTAGATATTATTTCATATTAGTACATAATTAAACATAAAATGTACGGAGTAATATATTTCTAGCAATACATTGCGTTACGAAATGTAACAAGTGTTGCCGCTGAGAAATACCACAAAAATTCACTATAAAAAATTATTTTCCACCACAGAATCTTTTGAAAAAGAAAAAAATTGGAATCCGAGGTTTCCGAAACGTAGTGAAACGGGTTTCCAAATTTTTCTTAATTACGGAAACGGCCCCGAAACGGGAATTTGAAGTTTCCGAGTTTCCGAAACGCTTCCGAGTTTCTGACACGTGGAAACGTGAGCCATGGAGAGTTTCCGTGCTTCCTAGGGTATCACTATTGATATATATTGATGATGAGACATGTCCCAGGCATGAAGAGAAAGATGAGTTGCTGGCTAAACATGACAAAAACAACACCTCACCCAAAGAAGTGCAAACAGGAAGAGAAGAAAACTGCACTTTAGACAAATAGATCTAACCGAACCTGAATGATAACGACAAGGAAGGTTTCACTGGAGCTAAGATTCCATGCTGATCAGAAGGAAGCAGTGACCAGACTACTGCAAAGCAGCAGCAGCAGGCATATCACTATGCATACATACAAACAAGCATATATACATGCATACATATATACGTACGTATGTACATGCATGCATGCATGCATGCAAACATGCACATAAACACATCACATGATATGGAACTGAAGATAAAGGATTTACCTGATTGCTGTGAACAATCCTGGAAACCTGAGCATAACAGCATGTCCTGTTAATTATCAAACACATATCAGAACTGTAAGAGTGAGTTTTAAACGTAATAACATCATATGCAGAACTGCCCACCTTTACTGAAGCTTGATCTTTAGTTTCTCTTTCTGTAGAAAATAAATTCTGAAAATCAGCTTGACAAGTATTTGTTTAAAATGTAAACAGAACAGCATGATTGGAGCAAAAATAAAACAACTCCATTCAGGAGCATGAACCTAAAGAACAAAATAGACAACCCACCCTTTCTAGAAGAAGTTGGGTTGACTGCCAATGTCAACCCAAGAAAACAGGCATCTCTTTCCATACCAAAATCCCAAAGGTTCAACTCAAGATTTGGTTCTGATCCTGCAATTAGAAATTTGCTTGTTCACTATATGGATATTACATATATACATACATATAGGGTTTGGTTACAATAAAAGTTATGCTCCCGTACAAAGTTCGAATGACTCAACTTTTGGTCATTTTTGTTGCACTATTGCACTAAGACGATTTTCACAGTGAGCTATTGTATTCAGGAAGTCCAATTTTTGCAATGAATACAAACTTTAATTTATTTACAAAAATGCCATTGCGCCTTTCATCCATTTTAATACATACTATCCTCCGTTCGGTTTTAAATGCAACCTAGCATGTGGGCACAGGATTTAAGAAACCTATACGGACTTTTTTTTTTCTGAATTCACCCTTGCTTTTAGCAGGCATGTCTGAAAAAATTATCTCTTTCACTTTTCCAACTTTTCTTCTCTCTGGTTTACCTTCTTCTCCGGAAAGACCAAATAATCTTTGTTTTCAATATTTTAGTTTCAGCCCCTCGTGAATTTGTTTAACATCATTTGAACTACAGATGTTTAGTTTTAACTTCCTATATCAAATTATTGGCCACTATATTGGTTCAACAAATGTGAAAGCTCCTTCGAAGCTTGAGATTCTTAATTTGTGTGCCAATTCAGCTCATCAAAATCTAAATTCAGAAAGGCCCAGATGCATGGAAGAAGAAAAAGGGGTCCGTATGTGGACAAGAAACGGGAGTTGGAGGGTTTTCAAAAGGAATAAATTAAACCAGCAGTGCTCCATTTCCTATTTACTTCTCTTTCATTACATAGTTTCTTCCTCATGGCTTCTTGTTCGTCCATCTCTGTCTTACACATCATCTGATTTAGTTCATAGATGTAAAGGCTTAGGCGCAGTAGAAAATGGATGGTGGATATATCGTGGGTGGGTGGAGATTTAATTTGAGGTTATGGGATGAATTATTTAAGCGTACAGAAGAAATGTTGGGGTAGTATAGTCATTGTGATTACTTTTTTTACCAAATATATAAGTGTTGCATTTATAATGAAACAGCCAAAAATGGAAAGTGTTGCATTTATTTAGGAACGGAGGAAGTATTTAAACTTTTAGGGCCATTAGAACCCAAATCCAATGCACCGGATTCATTCTTAGTTTTCATGGGAATGACATTTTTATTTGATCCAAAATCTATATATATAAACACACACACACACATATACGTATATATAAAGGTCTCTTGAAAATATGACATCCATGCTCACCGTCATTACTTAACTTCATCTGCAATGGATCACCCAATGAGCGTGGAATCCATATTCCAGCCTGTTTATTATCAGAGTAAGGTGTTTTATCCAGTGTACCATGCGTACAGAAAGCAATAACCAAAAAAGTGTCTGACATCAACAAATTGACAAACTTAAAAAAAAAAGTTATTTAAATGAAAAAAAGGATGCTGCAAGCACTGGTCAGCGGTTGGCCTCCTTAATGGATCCCATGAGCATAGTTGCTATTTGTTTCATAAAACGTAAGTCAACATCAGAAGTTCAGAACCCACTCAACACTTATTCCACACAGTAAATGTTGGGATTGCGCACTCTTAACCCTAAGAACATAGATTACCTGGATCAAATCAATAGCTTCCATGCTTGCATTGGGAATGACATCAGATAGATTTACCGGCAGAATCTACCAAAACAAGAAACAAGGATACTAATAAAAAATTAGCTTGCCTCCCTTTACAAAATGAATACATGGGGGGTGTTTGTGCATGTGTGTCACACATGAGTACTGTTTGCAATACTGAAAAGAGGATAGCACAAGACCTTGTTTGGTTGGGGATTTGAGGGGAACAGGAGGGGAAGGTGTGATAATATGAGATTTGTTTTATTAATTTATGGTTGCATATAGATGGTTTGAAAGAAAAGTGACGATGAAAATTCATACAAATAAATTATTTAACTAAACATATACTCCCTCCATCCCAACTCAAAGTTCTCACTTGCCTCTTTTGGACGTCCCAGCTAAAGGTCCTCATTTCTATTTTAGGAAAAAGTTAGCACTCTTATATGACAATTTAATCCTCAAATATTAAATATAATACACATAAAACATCACAATTATCATCGATGACTGTGCAATTTTTCAATGAGAAGCTTAAGCCAGGACGGAGGTATTAGTTATCATCTATCCTAGCAAATAGATATAAATTAGTGTAAAAAAATTAATTTTCCCCACCCCCCTCTTCCAACGTCCCCCAACCCAACAAGTCCTAAAGTTAACAATGATGTTCATCATAATAAATTAGTAAACGGGTAGAGTCTCACGCGTAGGTAACTGATGTCGACCAGACGAAAGATGTTTCTCGCTTCAGGAAAGGCAGTCCAATCTGGAGTTCCAAGTACACAGCATATCTTATGTAACTGATCAATTTCACTGTCATAAGAAAAACAAAGATCAGCCCCACTTAAACCAACATTGACCAACAATTTCACCTTAGCCACTAAGGCTAAAAAGTTCCCAATTCCCCAGAAGTTAAACTGGACAACCTTCCAAATAAAATTAAGATTGAAAAAATGTTATACTGATTTAAGTAGATGTGAAGGGTTTATTCTTTGGATATTACCCATGTGTGTATCCTTTGATGCCTACTGCGTATATAGTGTTTTAGTATACTATAGGTGTCTCTACTTTCTAGGAGTATCCATATACGGGAGTGTGTGATGCCTCTTTAAAGGATTGGACCAAAAGAGATAACATGCAATAAAGTTTTTGTGACTCAACATGGGGTATTACTGTATTAGAGCAAGGTAACCATTCCAGTGATCAGGGGTGCTAATATAGCAGCTAGAATTGCTATACCAGCAACAGGAAATGTCATTTTCAAGTAGAGTTCTTTGTTGAAAGTTCAAGTCCAAAGTTAGTTTCAAGTAGAGTGCAAGTTAAAATTATTGCCAAGTCCAGTTGTTCAGTGATAGTCTTGAGAGTCTCAGAGTCATGCAACAAGCATGACTCATAAGGTTAAAGGGAGGTGTTGAATTAATTAATGAAGTAGTATATGAAGGGTTGAGTCTTTTGATATAACTCAAGAGTGTAGTCTTTTGATGTTACCAATGTGTAGTCATTTGATATACTCTACTGTGTCTAGGAGAATATTTCTGTGAAGTGTGTCTTTCAAAGAGTGGCTAAAATGAGACAACATGCAATATATTTTTTATTCATCAGGAGGAAAAAAATAATTGTAACTAGTTTACAAGATCAATGATTGCTAAGTTCACTAAAAATATAAATATAATTGATAAAATCTTAAAAGATGGTAGATAATGTCCAGAGATCTTCCCCCGGACTTTATACATGTGTGAGCTCTTGTAATGGGTGTCCGCAGTGTCCCTTTCTAAAAATATTTTTAGCGCCAAATTTGAACTCTTGATGGCAACAAACAAGGTGTAAAGTAGTCTAAACTTTACAAGGAGAAACTGCCCTCAACCCTTTTATGCATGCATATAGTCAAGGCCTATAACTTTAACTTATATAACACACCTTTCACCAGGAAAAATAGGGCACAAAGTGAAAAGCTCAGCAAGTATTGCGCCAACAGCCCACATATCTGTGTTAATTGTTTGCATATATCAGTCATAAATCATCAGCAATCAAATGATATACACATGACCCCGAAATACATAAAATGTATGCCAGATCATCAGCTGGTGCAATATTTAATTGAGAACCTAGTAAAATACTCAAAATATTAAAAAAAAAATCAATGAACAATATAATTGATTACTACTCTGTAAAAGAGACAAGAGTTCGGCTACTAATAGAGACAAAAGAAAATAATTAGAAGTTGTTTATGGAAAGTTAGGAAGAGAGTAGATATTCTAGAGTCTGTACCTATGGCAGGTGTATATGAGCAGGATTGTAACAAGACTTCTGGGGCACGGTACCTAGAACAAACATAGAAATCCAGCTGTGAAATATGATTTATGGCATACAGAGACACATGACGATCTGCTAAAGTAAAAACTGACCAGCGTGTGGAAACATAATCTGTGAAAGGAGGCACTGAAGAAACTTCTCTTGCGAGTCCAAAGTCAGCAATTTTCATTGTGTCATTCATTACAAGTAAATTCTCTGGATTCAGCACAACGATAATAACTTGGTTTTGCAGCTTAGAAAATAACGAGGTTCAACTGCGAATAGTGCATAGACATTCAAACAATCATAACATACCGGGCTTTAAGTCCCTATGAAAATATCTGTTTCTGTGTATATGAGCAAGTCCCTGCACCAACTGAGACAACAGCCCCCTGATGTCCTCTTCTAAAACATACCTTTTTCGTTCTCTCATTGTTTGGTACAAATTGTTTTCCTAGCAAATCCACAACATCCCATTCACAACACTATTTGATTATAGTATCTGTCTTATGAACTAGGCAGGTAAAATGAGATTGAAAAAAAAAAACGATATCCAGGAATGTTTCATTACTGGGAAGCACATCGCTAATGAGTAACCCATACACAAAGGAAATAAGGTATAAGAGTATATAAACCACACCAACCATGTACTCAAACACAAAGAATAGCTCATTATTCTCCCTGACAATCTCTATCAATTTGATGATATTAGGATGACTCAGTTTACAAAGGGACTGCAGAAAAATACACACCGGATATTAATTACCGGTTACCACACCTGTGTTATGAGTTATGGCATTATCACATCACATAATTTTACAAGCCAGTGCATTTTCAAATGAGAGAAAATTGAACAGTTGCACACCTTCACTTCTTGCAGATTTATGCACTCATACCAGTGGTAAAATTTTCTCTTCATTTTCTTCACTGCAACCTGCAGCAAAAACAATTTACTACATGCATTTCCTAGAATCAAATAACACTGACTGACAATAGCAAAGGGAAAAGTGCAAACAAAGATGAAACTAAGCATAAGTGACTTTTAAAAATGTAAAACAAAAACAACATTTCTCCATTTTGAAATGCAAAAAGGAATATAAACTAAAGGAAAAGGGGGCATAGAAGTAGAGACATTTGATTGATATGAAAAGGTGGACTCTAATGTCAAAATGAACCACTCAGTCCACTCCTAACAGTTCTAAGATTATGCAGCACATTTCTCTTTCACACCTGGTGTCATCACCAATGGATATGCATCAAAGTTTTAAAAAATGCACAATTGCACAGATATAGAAGTATAATTATATCAAAGAAACAAATACTTACAATCTCATTTGTTCATCTCACACTCATACAGCATATCTCTCTGGTTCTAGCACCTTCACGTTTCCATCGAAGTTTTTGCTTTGCGATATCGGAAATGGCGGATGCAGAGACGTTTGCTTTCCAGGCTGAGATCGATCGGCTTCTGAGTCTGATCATCAACACTTTCTACAGCAACACGGAGATTTTTCTCCGCGAACTCATCTCCAATTCTTCTGATGCGTTAGACAAGATCAGATTTGAAAGCCTGTCTGACATGAGTAAGCTAGATGCTCAACCAGAGCTTTTCATCCGCATCATCCCTGACAAGACCAATAACTCCTTGACTATCATTGATAGTGGTATTGGCATGACCAAGGCTGACTTGGTTAACAACCTGGGGACAATCGCAAGGTCTGGCACAAAAGAGTTTATGGAAGCTCTAGCAGCTGGTGCTGATGTTAGTATGATTGGACAATTTGGTGTGGGATTTTACTCTGCTTATCGTGTTGCTGAGAAGGTCATTGTTACCACAAAGCACAATGATGACGAGCAGTATATCTGGGAATCCCAAGCAGGCGGTTCGTTCACTGTCACCAGAGATTCAGGCGAGCCCCTTGGCAGGGGTACCAAAATTACTCTCTATCTGAAGGAGGACCAGCTTGAGTACCTGAAAGAGCGTCGGCTGAAGGATTTGATCAAGAAGCACTCTGGGTTCATAAGCTACCCCATCTCCCTCTGGATTGAGACGACGGTTGAGAAGAAAATTTCTGACGATGAGGATGAAGTAGAGAAAAAATTTCTGGAGTGGATATGGAATTTGGTTGAAGAGGTTGATGAGGAGAAGGATGAAAAGCAAAAGAAGAAGATCAAGGAGGTTTCACATGAATGGTTTTTGGTGAACAAGCAAAAGCCAATCTGGATGAGGAAACCAGAGGAGATCACAAAAGAAGAATATGCCGCATTCTACAAGAGTCTCACCAACGACTGGGAGGAGCATTTGGCTGTGAAGCACTTTTCAGTTGAGGGCCAGTTGGAGTTCAAGGCTGTCCTCTTTGCTCCGAAGAGAAGGGCTCCTAATAACCGTTGTGTATTCATCATGGACAACTGTGAGGAGTTGATCCCAGAGTACTTGCGTTTTGTGAAGGGAATTGTCGACTCTGAGGATCTTGATGAGACTTTAAAGCAAAACAAGATCTTGAAGTTCATTCGCAAGAACTTGGTGAAGAAGTGTGTGGAGCTCTTCTTTGAGATAGCTGAAAACAAGAAAGACTTCAGTAAATTCTCTGAGGCTTTCTCAAAGAACCTAAAGCTTGGCATTCTTGATGATTCGCAGAACAGGACTAAGCTTGCAGAGCTACTTCGTTACCACTCAACTAAAAGCGGTGATGAGTTGACCAGCCTGAAGGATTACGTGACCAGGATGAAGGAAGGACAGAATGACATTTACTACATCACAGGTGAGAGCAAGAAGGCTGTTGAGAACTCTCCATTCCTTGAAAAGCTCAAGAAGAAAGGATATGAGGTTCTCTTCATGGTTGATGCGATTGATGAGTACTCTGTTGGTCAGTTGAAGGAGTTTGAAGGGAAGAAGCTTGTTTCTGCAACAGAAGAAGGTCTGAAGCTTGAAGAGAGTGAGGATGAGAAGAAGAAGAAGAAGAGCGAAGAGCTGAAGGCTAAGTTTGAGGGTTTGTGCAAGGTGATTAAGGATATCCTCGGGGACAAGGTTGAAAAGGTTGTTGTCTCTGACCGTGTTGTGGACTCTCCCTGCTGTTTGGTGGACTCTCCCTGCTGTTTGGTCACTGGAGAGTACGATTGGACTGCAAACACGGAGATGATATTGAAGGCACGAGCTCCAAGTGATGCGAGTATGGCTGGGTACATGTCAAGCAAGAAGACAATGGAGATCAACCCTGAAAACCCCATCATGGAAGAGCTGAGGAAAAGAGCTTATGCTGACGAGAACGACAAGTCTGTGAAGGATCTGGTACTGCTGCTGTTTGAGACTGCTCTGTTGACTTCCGGTTTCACTCTGGATGAGCCCAGCACCTTTGGGAACAGGATTAACAGGATGTTGAAGCTTGGGTTGAGCATTGACGATTATGATGCTGTGGCTGCTGACGATGAGATGCCTGCTTTGGAGGATAATGATGCTGATGCCTAGGGCAGCAAGATGGAGGAAGTTGATTAATTAAGTTCCTTATACATATTGTCAGACTGGTCATTTTGCTACTTTGGCATGTTACTAAAATCGTTGTTAATCGATGTTTCTCGTTAAGTCAAAAAAAAAAAAAAAAAAAACAATCTCATTTGTTCTCGTGTTAATGGCTTTATATACACTTCCGCATGTTCCATCCCCAAGTTCTTTCAGTATCTTGTATCTGAATGTAATAATTTAGAAACAAATGAAACAGCATACCAATCAAAGTACACTAACATGAAGTTCACAAGAAACTCACTTTTCCATTGTGAAATTTACAGCACTGCAGATGAATTTTGCTCAATGGACTTCTAACCTCCTGGTAGAGGTTTCTAAACTGTTTTCAACACAGTGTTTTTTACTTGGCTGATAACATCCGTCAGAGCATAAGTTCATCATAAAAGACAAAGAACTATATAACTCCCAGTTTTCATTGCAAGGCGTCAACAAAAAAATGATCAACATTCTTAAATGCAGCCTTCACAAGCTGCAACCAGCAGTTATCATCTACAATTGACTGCTATTAAGTGAGTTCCGTGTTAGGAGTATACTACAAGTCTACAACTATATAAGTCAGCTCTGTCTTGAAAGCTTGTAGCCTGCAATATTTTTCCTTCTGAACTTCATCATTCACCTGTCAGAAAAAATGAAAGTAAGCCTCATAGGGAGAGCATCAGACGTATTTCTTTCGAAACAGGATTCCTAGAACCTGATAAACCAGAAAAAGAAATTGAGGCAATTAAAAAATTCTGTAAAATGCTACTCATTTGAGGTCATTTCATAAACACAGATCACCTTTGAAGCTCAAATAGAAGAATATAATGCTAAACTTTCACTAAGCTTCTTTTTCATGAAAAAACATGTCTCTTGAAAATTCGAAACTTTTTAATTCCCTTCTTATGCAGCAGCTGAAGCATACACCAATCATAGAACGCAAACAATTCTTGCTGCCATGGAGGGCTCTTTCAGAATCTTTTCTTTTAAAACACTCGGTCAATAGTACATAAACAAAACAAAACAGCCCCATGTTTGGCACTAGTGCACTACTAGTGAGAATCAAGTACTACCCAATACCAAAGCGCAGTCACAACATGAAAGAAACGGAATTTTTTATCAAATCATACATTATAAATTACGGAGCATAGTAGTCAATGGCTGGATATGGCGCGCGCCATGTGCGCCATCGCCATGAAAAATTGGCCGTCGCCATAGCACCATATGCGCTTTATGCGCCATTTGTATATGCGCCATCGCCATGCGCCATGAAAAATGCCTTTGAGCCATGGCGATCGCCATGCGCCATGACTACTATGTTACGGAGTAATAAGCTCTCCAGATAAAGCTTCAGAAACTAACACCAATTTATCAAAATATCGAATAAACTTCTTTTCCTAAGAAGTATTTGACGCAATACAATTGAAATTAATTCATATTTGTGAACCAAGGAAGCAAAAGAAACTCGCTAGATAGTATAATTCGAATACAAGCACATGAAAATGTCATTACTAGAGAGATAATGCATGCGTTTGAACTCACGGTTAGATGTAAATTGCGGATAAAGAGGAAATACGGGGGAATATAGTAGCAAAGAGATCGGTAATGCAAGAACAACTAGTATCTCACTCGTGCGTTGCACGGGATGTAAATTATAAACATTTAAATGTTAATATATAAAATATTATGAATTCGTATATAAAAATAAAATGCAAAGTATAAGTTATTATATAAATGAATAAAATCATAAGTTCAATTAATAATATAGTGAATATTAGAAGTTTAATTAGTACACATATTTGAATAAAACACTTAATTTTACTTCAGCTTAGTGTTTAACATCATCATCAATCTGTAGAGGTCGATTCAGTATGCAAGTGTCATCAAATTTATAGTGAACTTTTACATATGGTCCATGCAAGTATCTGCCATGTAAATAAGCAGGAAAATCTAATGAGTGAAAACCCTCATTTTGGAACTCTATAAACTGGAAGGAGGTTGACTTAGCGGCTTCCCCTTTTGCGGATATTACAAATGGACCTTTTGCATAGAAGTTACAATAGAAGTGGCTTTACCACATTACTTAGCCTTCTATAATCACCACCACAATCAAAACCTGCACAAGTTAGAATTGATAAATCCTTAAACACAAACATAATACAAACAAACAGATAGATTCACACACTCTAAGTTATCTATCACTAAATGATATTAAAAAAGATTAGTTGTATTGTCCAGCTAAAGTGCAATATGAAGCACTAAACAATAAAGTAAAAAGCACAAATCAAATAAATCCTGGATTAAGGAAAGTAAAAGTCGCTTAAGATATTGAAATACTCAAAATGTTAATAATAAAACTGAAAATAAGAAATCTGGAATAACGAAACATTACAAAAATGCAAGTTCATTGCAATACAACTTTTTGTATTCATGAAGTTGTGAGCTTCGAATTCACCTTGAAGCACTGTCATTGTGTGAACAACTTATCACCTGCAATCAATGAAGGATATCAGACATTAGTAGTTCTCCAAAATGAGCAAGATCATTATAACCAATCTTTTGTTCCTTTTGGTACCTTATATATATGGTCATCCACTACCTCACAGATTGACATTAAAAAGGAAAGTCGGTTATCAAGGGAGAGCCTACGCATTTTTAGTGATTATTGTTCAACATTAATGCATTTCAGAACCCTACTGGACTGGAAAGATATCATTCCAAAGCATTTCTAATTAGTAACTTCTGCTCAGATCAACAATCTCTCTTACATACACATTTCAATAATGAAATTTCTAACGGCATGTACATGAGAGCAAACGATCAGAAGACTCATTTTACATTATAAGAAAAGCATGTACATAGAGTTTCTTAAAGACGTTCTCAAAGTTTCTGACTCAGACATTATAGCCCAAACCTCACTTTCAACAGGTTCCGGACATTATAACAATATAACCTCAACTCCTCCAAAACCCTTGATTCAAACAGGCCCCGCATTTGGTCTTTAAGTGTTTTTTATTGCTCAGTTTATGAATCAGTTGTTGCTCTTGTGCCGCAATGTTTTGTACAATTTGTTGACAAATAAAATAATACTTCCCTATATTCTTTGTGAAAAGATCCTCAGTTTTAGAATGGTTAACTATGGAACTAACTATATAAATATAGTGCAAAGAGATGATTCAGAAATGACAGAAAAATGATAGTTTACAAATTGAATATAATCTCAATAAGATGTGACATCCATACTTACATCTCAATCCATTGAACCAAGCTAAAAGTTTAGAGTTGTTTACAACGTATCAATGGGAAAGGAACAAATAAGGGATGTCCATGCTTACCATGATCATTTACTTTTTTTCACACTTCGTAGATCAGATTATATTTAAAAATGTGGAAAGAGAGGTCCATACCCCAAGGCTTCAACTTTTTTCTCCAATTTTAACCTTTACTCATCACAACAACTTACTGAAGTGATGTCAATGTCAGATGCTTCAATCTCATGGCTAAGGTGAAAACTATCCATATGATCTGGGATTGCAAGTTCACGGCGTCCTGTTGAAGTGAGAAGAGTGGATTTACTACATCCATTCAATCCCAGTAATCCATAGTGTCTGCAATAATAACAATATATGTTGAAATCAAAGCTCAAAACTGCATTATACACCTTTCAATTTTCAGACACGCTATTAAAAGAACCCTAAACAAACAACATACCTCCCGTAGTTGAGTTCCAATTCAGAATCAACAATAAGTTCATGCCCGTGGAAAGTTAGCGACAAAGACTCGATCTGGAACTGCCGCAATTCTCTTGACTTTGCTGGTTTCCTCTATGCCCATGTATCTAGCGCCATCTCTCGGCCACCCTCTCTGAATAAGAGTGCCCATGTTCGTAGTCCTCGTCCCCTAGATTGTAAAATTGGTTGTTGAGACATGCACCTGGTTGCGAGCTGTTTCAATCAGCCAGTGTGCTCGCCGGCGTCTTACTGGGTCCAAGGTTTGCCGGACAGGCCGGGGATCTCTGGCCCTCTATTGACGTCGGTGCAGCGAATGCTATATTCTAGCCGTCGAGTCGCCTGAAGCTCTGCCTCCTCCACGCCAAATTGCAACCTGAAATCCAGAGGACCAGAAGCACGGCCAGGCGCCTTGGGGTCCTGCCTATTACATCTGGAATCGGTGATTTATGGCACCATTCACATTAACCAAGAAGAGATAGCGTGGCTGCGTGGGATATATGGCTGGATATACGCCTATCAAAATAGCATTTAATGACCTTGGCCCACTAACAAATGAAAACGTTCAGCAGACCCGATTGGTTATTTTTGACCCGTATCTTTGGGCGGGAAACCCCAACAGAAAATCCGAAAATTGTCCTAAATAGGACTAAAAGGTTCCTAAAAAGCACAAATAGGACTACTATTTTTAAAATTCACTAAATAGGACTAAACATTGATTTTCTACCCTAAATACCCCTAAAAGTATTAATTCATAATGAAATGCTTTAATTCATAATAAAATCACAAAAAACGTAAAAAAATATTTAAAAAACGTAAAAAAATTAAAAAAAAATTATAAAACATTTATAAAATAAAAAATTTAATTTTTTATTTTTTTAATTTTTTAAAAAAAATAATAAAAAATAGTAAAAACCCATAAAAAATGAAAAAAATTATGGATACCTTTCTCACCGACTCCCGCCGCCTCCCAGCACCACCACCTCCGATTGGTGAAATTTCTTCCACTTTTGGTAAAAAATGCCATATTTTTAAGAAAATGCCAAAAAGATGGCATAATTACTCTTCAATATGCCAACATTTTCATTGATTATGCCATCATTATGGCATTATTTAAAATGTTGGCATATTTTTGTCCGGTGATGGGAGATGGTGGTGTTGGGGTGGCAGGGGTGGTAATGTGTTTTTTTAATTCTATGATTTTTTTATTTATTTTTTATTTTTTTTAAAAAAAAAAATTTTTATTTTTTTTTTTAAATATTTTTATTAATTTTCTATTATTGTTTTACGATTTTTAGTATTTTTTCGATTTTTATTAATTTTTTATGATTTTATTATTAATTAAAACATTTCACATGTTACAAGGGTATATTTGTCCAAACACACATAAATAGTCTTATTAAGGGAATTTAAAAAATGTAGTCCTATTTGTGTAATTTTGCCACTTTTTAGTCCTATTTAGGGAATTGACTCCAGAAAATCCACCTTTTTTATATACAGATAGATGAATGGAGATGAGAGAAGATTGTAACTTGTAAGGAGAGAAAACGTATGTGGATAACTAGCGTCGGCATGTATGTCACAGCCAAATTGGCATGAATTTACCAAATTACCTGAATAATTATGTCATAATTATTGATAAGGAAAATTACTTTAAATAATACTAGTACAAACTATCTTCCATGAACTAAAAATGAGTTTTTTCGAATTAATGTTAAGTAATTAATTAATTACAAAAATAATGTTGGAAAAAAAGTATTTACCAATATAATGTTGGGCCTTAACCACGGTCAGGGGTAAGTCGCCCAACGGTTGGGCGACTTATAAGTCGCCAAACGGTTTGGCGACTTATAAGTCGCCCAACCGTTGGGCGACTTACCCCTGAAATATGGTTGAAGGCGAGCAGCTACTGCCAGCCACGCACGATCGTGCGTACCCTGGGACGCACGATCGTGCCTAGGTCCAAAAACAGCATTTCAGCAGATTTTTCGCCCTAATTCAACCCGGACTCATCTGTTTGCTATAAATAAGGTCTCTCTTCTCCTGTTTAAGTGTTACGAGCCAGATACAACACATTATAAAACACTTATAAAACATACAACACACGTCTTATCAATCACATACATAACACCTCCTCTCATCAACATAAAAAACACCTTGAAAATACCCTTTACAAATCAAATACAAAATCTTCCATTCATAACCGGTATAACACAGTACAATCATCCAATATTCATAACAAGTAATCATCTAATATTCAGACTTGAACACATCAAGACAACATACAAGACTTTACAAGAGAAAATACGTCAAATGTTGTAAATTGTTCCTACAACATCTACTGCATAAGAAAAACTACAATACAAAAGACAGATTACAAGTTCCCATCGTCAGCTTCGTCATGGAGATGTTGCTGCTCATGTCTACGCCTACGCCGTTGTCGTGGTTGAAGAACCACTCTCTCATGTTGCGTCTGGGATGATGAAGCCGCCGCTGCACTAGACGTGGGTGGCATCTCCTGAGATGGGGGCATGTGTATAAGATGGCCGTAGTCGACTCGCCCCAACACATCTGAACACAAGGACGCAATGCCTGTGAGAGCCTGTCCATACAAGTCCACATCAGGACTATCAGTCACTGTGGCAGTAGCCCGCTGATGTATGCGCTGCAAAGCTCGTGTCTGAAATATGAAACACAATTACATTTACATTGAAATACATACAAATATTACATAAATAAAATGACTTACTTTACTAATTAGTAATATACTCACCGTAAGATGCAAAGCTAAGGAGCTAGGCTGATAATGATGAGTAGGGAGTCTGAACGAAGGAGACACAAACAAACGAGTGATGTTGTAATACCATCCCATGTAGTCTCCTGAAACAGATGGCACATATGTCGGTGTCCCGGACACAACTAGCTCAGCTCTCCTTTCCCACATAGTCACATATCGGACATGTCTGAGTGCCCAATCCTCTGTATGCTTCCCACGCCTATCTAGCCTATGCAGCTCAACATAAGTGTCGATAGGCCGTGGAACCACCTGCTCAAACCCAAACTGTCGCAAGACTCTATCAGGCAAATGAAGCTCAACAATGTCAAAACATATCAACGACACACGTGCTCGCCATATGTGAGTATGCTCTCGTCCAGCTGGGGGCAACTCTGCTAACATCTCAGGTGTAAACGGCATCCATGTAATCTGTTTCATAAAGATACAAAATTAGGAGATTTTCTTTACATATTATAGTTAATGTTATACTACCCACACCATACCTGGTCCTCAGACATCCGATCAAATGCATCCCTGTACACACCGAGCCCAGTAGCGGATGACATGCGAGATAGACCAGCATATAGCCATCTAACCATTCATGTAACAGTATCATTGATATGGATATTATTAATGTATTTACACACAACATACACTCACATTAATACAAACGATTGAAAACATACCGACGGTCTAGAGGGTCCTCGCCCCGTACATGATGAGGTCCTAGAAGACGTGGAGGCTCATCAGGCAGTGGCTGTCCATCAATGCCATGATATCCGATTATAATGGGACGGCCAATGTGGATATACTCCCATGACCAAATCTGGAGGAGTAACAAAATCCCCCAAGCTCTGTGCTCCCTCTCTGGCAGCCGCGACAAAGCTGTCTGTACAGGTAAGCCAGGGTGGCACTACCCTAGCTGAACTGTGCTGCTACATCAAACCTCTCTAGCAAAGGCAAGTGCAGCACTTGAACCTCATTTCCGCTCTTGTCAGCGAAAATGGAGGCTCCCATCATCATCAATATATAAGCCCGAGCATGCTGCTGGATCATCACCTCATCAGCGTCGGGAGGAAGCACCTGGAAGTGCTCCCTCAACCATGGCATCCTCAGAGATGACCCCTGAAGGTCAGTCCTAAGAACGAGGCGGATACCTAACAACCGCTCACACTCATCCACCCACTGTCGACAAGCAGTGCCTGTAACAGCTCTCCCATGAACCTCTAACCCGGTAAGTACAGCAACATCTGCCAATGTCACTGTCACCTCACCAACAGAGAGGTGAAATGAGTGTGTCTCCTGCCTCCAACGCTCAAGTAGAGCAGTGAGAAGCGCTCTATCTAGAGGCACAGTAGCCACTAATATGTGAAGAGTATAAAAACCTGCAGCACCAACATACGCTAGTACCATGTCGTCGACGTGCAAATGCGACAAACCCCGCAGGTGCTCGCGGCACCTATCCACCTGAACATCCATGCCAAGCCAAACATCCTCACTCCTGTGCGAGGCCTGCAAGATCACCATCGGGGGTAAACCTTTTCTCACCTGATCCACGCATCAATAAACCCTTCACGGAGATCATAAATTCTAGTAAAATGGCTAGACGGGGCAGTTTTCGTGACAGTATCACCATCATCTTCATCAGATTATGTCATGTCATCACCATTGATGTCCTCGTCAGCATCATCATCAGTTCCCTGCCCATCCACAAATGATGCACCGTTGTGTAAATACCTACCATCTTCCTGTATAACCATGTCCAGTATAGGAGCCTTTGAGGAGTTCCCTGCATTCACCCCTGCATTGACATCATGCGTAGATACGACAGCATTTGATGTTGATTGAGTACCATAGGCGTCACAGGATTCCTCAATGTATATCTCAAGCGTCGACATATCTTCCATGTGAGTTATGCCCCACATATTTGTTATAGCTAGCTCATCAATGAGGGGCATAAGCATGTACTTTACCCCGTTCATGGAAAATTTCATTTTCAACCGCAAAGAACGGCTAGGATGAATCATTGTGGCTGCATGTATTTTTTGAAGGATCTCCAGCATGCAAGCGCCACGAGAAACCATGACAAAGCTGGTTCTACCACCTTCAAGGCATATTTGGCCAGCATCCTCATAATAGTTTCCTCCCCAATGACATATGATTGGGAAGCTTGAGAAATCCATATTCTAATAACAATTCATTGTCCAACATTCATGAGTAGGCATCAATATACACACTTTAAACACAATCAAATTTTCAATAGAAAAAACTACCAAAATTGTAATATATCCTGATGGATAGTCTACCCGGGGGTGTCTTATCCGAGGGGTTATTGCGGGAATAACTAGAGAGAAGTCAGAGCAAAATCGGAGAAGAGAGAGTCGATTTATTAAATGAACTCTGCGTGTCTTTACAAGGAGAATAAGGGTTGCTATTTATAGCAGCAATAAATGCGATGAGAGTACATGTGTCAACAATCCAACGGCCGAGGGGTCACATCAATCAGGTGGCACCGGCAGTGGCATGTTCACCGCATTGAATGCGGTGGGTGGATGTGACGTCGCATTAAATGCGGTGGTTGGCTGTCTCCAAAGGGAATCTTCGATGATTGAGCATGTTTGGCCGAAGGCTCCTTGCGTAGCCGAGGGCTTCAAGTGGCTGGGGACCCCCGCGTAGCCGAAGGCTCCGTGTGGCCGAAGGCTTGGTTCAGCCGAAGGCTTTTCTGATGTCGAGGGCTCTACAGTGCCGAAGGCCCCTCTTTTCTGCCGTTTTCTCCCAGTAGCTCGGTATGCCAAAAAAGGCTATCCTGTAAGTTTTGGGGCCTTCGTCCAAGGTGGTCGAAGGCACCCCAGTGTGTATTTCGGTTGAACTTGGGCCACTATATTCGGGCCTTGGATGCTCCATGGACTTAATGGGCCTTTGTGGGAGAAGTAGGAGTCTATGGGCTGGGGGTTCCTAGGCCATATACTCCATCAGGAGTCCTTCACTCCTTTTGTCGAAAGGTACTTGAGGGAAAAGGAGTAACTGTGTTGATTATTCCGAAGGCTTCAGCATTTCGTTGGGCGCCTTTGTTTGTGCATTTGTCTTCTGCTGTTTGCCGAAGGCTTCCCTCAGTCCCTCACATGTCGAGGGTTTCCTGAGGGAAGTGTGAATAATATCCGTATGTGTTTGTGATGAGGGCTGCTTCATCTTTGTTAGTGATTCTGCGGAGTTTTTCTGAAATTCTGCTTTGCCGAAGGGTGTAATGATGCATATACCCGAGGGCTACATGCGTTAATTGTAGGTTTTTTCGCATGTGGGAATTTTGCTTTTGTTATGTGTGATTCCCGAGGGGTGTATCCCAGTCCCCCACTCCTTTAGGCCGAAGGCAAGTTCGGGTTGAAGGAGTTATGATGCGTTGATGAGCTCCCCGATGGGTGGTGACATTGGTAAGCCGAAGGCTTATGCTGCTACATGCTCGAGGATGCAACATTGACAAGCCGAAGGCTTATGCTGCTGCAGGGTCGAAGGCGCTTGGTGGAATTTTTTGGCTGAAGGCCGTGAAGAGTGATATCCGGAGGCTATCATTCGAGGGTACCCCAGTGTTTCCGAAATATAGCCGTTGTAATATAGTCGTTGGAAGAGGGGTCGACGTGGCCGACTGGTGTTGGCTGAAGGTGGGCGGGAGCCATCCATTGGCTGAACCTGCGGCCCGTAATGATGGGCTTTCAAATCGAGGCCCAATTTTCGAGGCCCAGTTGCCTATAAATACCCCAGACCCCAAGCCACTCTCCTTTGTGCGTTTCATTGTTAGCGAAGCTCTGGCGAAATTTTCCTAGAGAGAGAAAGCTCATATCGGTTTAAGTCTCGAATCTCAGGTGAGTCCTCCCTCTGTCCTTACCTTCTTAGGTATATTTTGCTTGCGTCCCTCTAGATTCAGTGTTATAGACTCTAGGAGCCTTCGACCCATATCCTTCGACCTTTATCCCTCCACAATGTCTTTGGGAGATGATTCGCAAGATATATCGAGGGAGGCCTCAGTCCAGCAGGAGAGCTACTCGGATGCAGAATCCTCGAGTGAGCAGGCGTCGTCAGCGAATGACTCCGCTATAGCTGAAGAAGTCCAAGACCGTCTTCGGACTGAGGCGGAAGCCGAGGAGTTCGAACAAGTGGTGGAAGACGAGGAGATGGCCCTCGCTCTCCAGGTTGCAGAGGAGGAGGAAGAGAAGGAGCGAAGGGTGGTCACCATCGCCGTCATGCCCCCTCACGATGTTGGAGAAGCGAGTAGCTCTCGGCCATTGAACCCCGAGCCCCTTCGGGTCGCTCCGGGAAAAAGGAAGAAGAAAATGAGGGCGGCGCCGAAGAGGAAGCAAGCTGCTGTTGATGCGGGTCAGTCGGTGGGAATACCCGAGGGCCATTCTTACTTGAACACGGCGGCCCTCGCGATGAAGACAAGAGCGACAGCCTCCGACTACCAGGACACCCAGTTCCTGGTTGGACCCTCCGCACAAGTGGTTGAACCCAGTCCCGACAACCTGTTGTCCAACCCACCCGAGGGGTGTTTTGCTGTACATATACTTTTTGTAGACTTAGGACTTCGGTTTCCCCTCCATTCTTTCTTGTTAGAATACCTTGAGTTCCTGGGGCTAGCCCCCTGTCAGCTATCTCCCAACAGTCACTCATATATCTCCGGCTTCCTTTCCCTCTGTCGCTCCCGGGAGGTGGAACCGACCTTAGATCAGTTCTTCCTTTCATTCAACCTGTGCCAAAGGGGGCACACACATGCGGAGGGGTTCGCCAACTTACAGCAAGTTCCCTCCTGGAGGTTGTTCTCGGAGATTCCGTCGTCCCATAAAGGGTGGAAGGATCGCTTCTGTTACATCCGGATGCCCGAAAACCCCTTCCCGAGGCCTTTACGTGATCACTTCCGGAGGCATTTGAAGGTTGGGAACTTCGCTCTTGAGAAAGATGGGAAGAAGTTAAAGGCGAAACCCGCAGGCTCAGATAAGTTGTTGGCCATAAAGGCCGCCACCCTCCCAGAAGAACTTTATTTGCTTGGCTTCCGGCGGTTCCGGCTGATGGGGGAGAAGGATGACAAGTATCCCCTACTAGACCGGGTGTACCAAAGCATCGAAGGTTCTCGCCGAAGGCTCCTTATTTACATACTTAGGAATTTTCTTCACCATTTTTTTTTGTGGTAGCTTAACGCTTCTTATGTTTTCTTTTCTTTTCCGCAGGACCAGATATGGACGCCAAAGCATTCGCAAAGCTGCAGAGGCAGATGGCCAAGGAAGAGAAGATGAAGAGGGAGGCGGGCGCTCAGAAGCCCGTCGATGAATTCTTTAAGAAGGATGGTGCTGCTGGAGTCCCGGAGGGTGAGGGAACCTCCCAAAATGTTGATGCCGGTACTGATGCCGGAGGCTCCAGGGCAGGGGTGCTTAAAAGAAAAAACGCCGGGAAGGACGTTGTGCCCCCGGAGAGAAAGAAGAAGAAGGGGGGGCCCGGCCAGAAGGATGCCCCGATCGTCGTCGCTGAGGAGCACTCCTCGTCCGAGCCTCTGATGATGATGGCAGTTGTTCCCCCCCCCCCCCTCCTGAACAAGCTTCGAAGAAGGGGGCGACGGCTGACGAGGGGAATTGGCCCCTCGAGAACGTGCAGTTCCCAGTCAAGAAGGGGACTGCCATAATGCACGGTACCCTCGACCCGAGGGACGTTCTGAGAGGTGCGACTCCCCCGTTGGATAGGGCTGCTCTCGGTCGATTTGAAGATGAAGCCCTCGACCTCAAGGCCCTCCAAGCTTCTGTCACTGTAAGTTTCGAAACACCTTGTCTTCTTCCTTGTCCGATTTCCTTTGGTTTTTGTGGATATTGATGTGGAGTGTTTTCCTCATGTCTGCAGGCTAGCGTGGCCCTTGTGGAAATAGTCCGGAGGGCAGAACAGTCACGCCTCCAAAAGGCACAAGCTGATGAAACTCTGAAGAAGCTTGTCCGGACGAACACCGAGGCCATCAGGAAGATGGCGGAGTTGGAAGAAGCCCTCCGTCAAGCCACCGAGGGGTTAGAGCAGAGGGTGGCGGCCGCCGAGAGCCAGGTCAAGGCTAAGGGGAAAGCCGAGGCTGAAAGGGCAGCCGCTGATGCTGCCAAGTCCGCTGCCGAGGATGCGGAGAAGGAAAAGGCGGAAGCCGTTGCCAAGGCTAATGAGGAGGCGGTGGCGGCCTTCATTGCTGATGGCTGAAAGGCCGAAGAGCAGAAGCAGTGGGTGGCTTCGGTTGTGGGGGCCTCTGCTGATGGCTGGGTGAAGGGCCCCGGGGCAATGTGGTTGGCCTTGAAGGGGAAGAGTTTTTATGAGGGGGGGGGGGGCAGTACTTCACGCAAGCCATGCTCTATCGGAAACTGGCTCGGCATTTTGGAGTGGACCCCAAGGACTTTGATCCAACTCCCTACGAGCTTCCCCCTCTGCTACCAGACGTCAGGATTCCCCTTCCCGAAGGTGAGGAGAGGCAGCTGCTGGAAGATTCAGAGCTCGACAGGCTGGCCTCGGACAATGATGAAGATGCCGAGGATG